GTATGTGACACCCAGTCCCTGAAAAAGCCATCTCGATTGGTATCATTCAAATGCGAATATAGGCCTGATTGAAGCATAAAAGTGAAATAATAATGCGGATGCTTCACCATAGAATAGATCGATCCAGTTCCCGTTCTTTTCCGGTGCACTCGCTTTATATCTCCGACACACAAGGAAGGACGCGGTGGGAAGGTTTCAAATGAGCATCCCATGGGGCAGCCATGGCCTCTCCAGCCAAATTGAGAAATTCTGAGAGAAATTCTACATTCTTTTCAATGTGCATAAGGTCTAGATTATGACGTAAGAAGTTCGTTTCCCAGTAAGGAAGATCAAAAAATATGCTTCTCTTTCTCCACTGTCTTGATCTATCTTCATTAACGGTTTGTCTTCGAGCTCTTTTACCTTTATCATTCAAAACAGGTGCTTTCCCGAAATTGACATTAATGCCCTCCACTTGCTTCAAGATGTCTGACCCTGATAATGCAATTGGTAGCTCCCGTTGCTCGATTTTTTCGTTAAAATGAACACGTTGCAATCTAAACCGATGACCTCTTTAAAGAAAACGACGATGACCCATAAAACACCATTTTCTACTATGCTTCAATCTGCAAGAGTCAGTATCAAAGTTACACGTGGGGCAAGCAAACTGAGTGTATGTATTCCATCCAGATAATGTACCAAGCCCAGGAAAATCACTAATTGTCCACATCAATGCTCCTCGCATTTTAAATATTTCATTCTTTGAAGAATCTAATGTCTGCACTCCATCGTACCACAATTCCCTCAACTCTTGGATGAGAGGTTGTAAATACACATCTATGTCATTGCCCGGCATTTGTTTCCCTGGAATGATCATTGAGAGTATGAATGAAGTTTGTTTCATGCACTCCCAAGGAGAACGGTTGTATGGAATAAGTACCAGTGGCCAGATACTATAGTTAGTTGCCATTGCTCCAAAAGGATTGAAACCGTCACTGGCTAGGCCTAGCCGTACATTTCGAGGATCTGCAGCAAATTCAGGATGAAGTAAGTCAAAAGTTTTCCAAGCCTGAGAATCCCTAGGATGCCTCATCAATCCATCTTGGCTACCCTCTAAAGAATGCCATCTCATAGACTCTGGCAGTTTTAGAGCACATGAACAATCTTTGCAGGCTGCTTCTTCTTATTATCCTTCCACCTCGATGACTTGCATCTTTTGCATTCTTGCAAGCCTTCATCTTCACCAAAATATAACATACAATCATTTGGACAGGCATGTATCTTGGTATAATTAAGACCAAATTTATTGATGGTTTTCTTGGCCTCATAAAAAGAACCAGGAATCTTGGCATCAAAGGCATCTTTTAACAATTCTAATATCATACTCATCGCCTTGTCAGTCATTCGACAAAGACACTTTATATGATATATTTTGATTAGAAATGACAATTTGGAATACTTCGTACGCCCTTCGTATAATGGTTGATTTCCATCTTCGACCAATTCATAAAACTTTGTATAATCTTCATTATGCCCCTCAACGTGCCCCCTTCATCAATATTTCTTCTATATTTATATGATTAGAAGACGCACCAGGCTCGTTGACATTATTCCGGGTGAACCCAAACGCATCATTAATCATAATTTCCATTGGATCTTGGGGTTGTAAATTATCTTCTATGATATGGGTGCTCTGAGAAGTCTGTTGCACGGTTGCATTTGATTCTTCACCATGCCAATACCAAAATTTGTAGTTTTTTGGGAAAGGTTTAAGAATCAGGTGCTCTTTAACTACATCTCTTCTTTGCCATTTGTTAAAACCACATTTTGGACATGGACACTTAATTACACGCCCATCAACTGACCCGTGCTCAAAAGCAAAATCCAAAACTTGTCTTAGACCATCTGCATATTCCGGTGTGTTTCGTGGTTTGCTAATCCAAGATTTATCAATTGGCATGGCTAGAAAGGAAGACATAAGTTAACATCACAATATTAAAACTAAAAAGATAGTTCAAAAGCTTCTATGTGACAAACATAACCTCTGAATATATCCACTTAATTTGAAAAGCCATTGCCAACTTAATTAACATGAAAAGTCACATCACTTCTACATTAATTAATTTTGAATGCAAACTCATATTGTAATCTCTTCAACTACAGAATTGTTGAATGTCAAATACAGCTCTTTAAATGGTAAACAAATTAAGAAATGGTCTATTTGGTACTTGAAACGAAAGTACTATTTTCGTTTCTTGTACAGTTAAAGTTGAACTTCAGATTATTCCTGCATTTTTGCTTTTAGTTTCAAAATCCATAAAGCCTAAGGCAAAACATAACCTGCAATAATTAGTGAATATATCCACTTAATCTGAACTAAGTTTTTCTCTTAAAAAATTTGCTCATACACAGTGTCAAACTGTTAACTTACTACTTCAGATTCTTACAGTTAGATATCATATCTTTTTACCTATACAATTGGTAACCGTTTGATAGATTAGTTGAACCTATTATAACAGAAAGCTCTGCTAATCCGCTAGTGACAAAAAAATAATCAATCTACCTTTTAATAAAAAGAAATCTGCTCAAAAGAAAGGACAAAATTAAACTGATACCTCTCAAATGTTCTACTGCCGACGTCGATCCCAATAGCTACACCAATAGATTTTGATCTCTCGGCTACATATCAAGATACCAAACAAAGCAGCAAACGTTTAAAGAAGTACTAAACTAATTGAACAGAAAAATAACAAAAAATGGACTTAAAAAAAAAACTAAAACCATTAGAACATTAATGTCTTTCTAGTAAAAGATTACTATTTTGGATGTTATATATTTAATTGTCTGAATGAATCATAGATTATCAGACTGAGGAAAAAAAATTAGCACAAAATTGGGGAAAATCGCTACATGCATCAACCCTAACAAAGAGAAAAAGAAGTTTTGGTACTAAACATGAACCCTAATCGCTACATTAGCTGAGATTATTGAAGCTGCTAAATGAATTTCACGGATTCTTCTAGCCGGAGAAACAGATTGGGAGAAATAGAAGAATACGAAGTTTCAGGAATATCTTTCAAGTTTCACAAAAACATGGCCAAATGCAATCCCGAAGAGAAGATTGATTCTTGTGCACAGGTTGCTGGCCGAATTCTTCTAAAGGAGGTAACTAAAAAAAGAGATTAATCTAAGTTTCCACGCCGTATTGAGCATGACAGCCGCCGGAGCAACGGGATA